CGTTTTGTAGAGCTGGCTTCAATTTAGATTTCCATTATAGAATCACCCATCTCTCTTCATTACTGTAGGGTTACGGTAGAAATTTCAAAGAGGGTTTTGAACCATGAAAGGCCATATTTTGCCTCAGAAAGGAAACAAAACAGCCTGAAAACTTTTACACCAGGCTAATTAGAGTTGCTGATTATAAGTGTAAAGTTCCCAACTCATCATGATGCTTCATTGAAGAGTTATGCCAGGTGAGAGGTAGCGGCCTTTTTTTCACTGTTCCTAAAAAGTGCGATTACACCGTTTAGAAAGCTTCGTAATCTTGTGAATAGTTGAGTATTGAACTCAGCGTCTGTAAAAACCCTATTACACAAGTTTTCACAATTTTTTGAAAAATTTTGAAACGGCAGCTTTTTCCGCATTGACACCATATGTTTCAAGTTTCTACCGTAATCCTACAGTAATGAAGAGAGATGGGTGATTCTATAATGGAAATCTAAGTTGAAGCCAGCTCTACAAAACGGTACCTGAAGCAAGGCAAAAGACTTCTTGGGAAGAGAGATATTAACGATCAAACGTTCTAAACATTTTTTTGGGACACCCTGTATATCATTTTGAACAGCAGAAAATCTTTGGTGGGAACCAAGTGTCGTAGGCGATAGTAGTATCGATAATAATTTATCCACAGACGAACATAACAAACACTCGGGGATTCCTTTTATACGAGTAAAAGGGGGGAATCTACCCGAGGACAGGGCGCCGTAGACGGGCTACAGGCTTAAAAGGGGAAGCCGCCGTAGAGGTCGACTCCCGCTGCACAAATGTCACTCAATGTTCGAGTGATTAGATACTTCATCAAAAGTAGATGGAAATATAGCCTATGGACGCTCCATAGGCTATTCTTAAGATAAGCTCTAAGTTGATAATCAAAAATCATCAACAAATCCATTGTTTATCGAAAATCATGCAATCGAATGCAAAACCGCTCCAGAAAATTCCCAAAATTTTACAAAACTTGCAAAAATGAATGTATAGAAAATCAAATTTTTTTGTAACTTTGACATCAAAACATTAAAATTGTTATCGAAACTGTTTTGAAGATTTTTAATTTTTTAATGATAACTTTTTAGAATTTTACTCAATTTTTCATGAACACTTTAGAATTCAAAATGCGTTCATTGAAGGGTTAATATAGGCGCTCCTTTTCAGGTTTAAATCATTTTTTACTTTGCAACGAGTTCTAGGCCTTCAATTTTTTTTCATCAATAGTTTCATTTTCTCAAAGCTGAAGAAGTGGTAAATTTTCCACATAGCTTGAGCCTGAGGCTCTTTTTGACAACTGTATAGTTTGAAGGCATTTTGACTTCTTGGTTACACTGTGTCAGCATACGTGGCATTTTTTTGCCTTTTGTCATACCTATTCAATGTATTAGGTTGTTGCAAAAATAAAGTCCGTTTTGCAAAGTCTTACTTTGAAAGGCTATAACTTTGTCCAGTCCTTATATTTTGGAATCAAAACCATACGAAGCAGTGAATCTCTCTTATCCTGAAGCGCACCTGCACTTACTGATATCACAAACGGTAAGAAAACCATGGGTCAAAAAACCGTAAGTTTTCCTTTCATAAACCTCGTATTTGTGAGACTACAACTCCCTTCAAATTTTGTTCCTTTGGCTGCTAATTTGCTTATTTTGTAGACGCAAGCCAGTAGTATACTTCTGCTTAGAAAAGACTTCAACGAAAAAGTCTTGCGAAAAGAAAAGAGAAATTCAAAATTGTTCACTTTTTCGAGCCTATTTGTGGTAGGCTAGAAAAGTCCCAAACTATATAAATTTGAAATTCTTCATACACTGAATAGCTAAGCTTTTTTGCAAAAATTGTGGGAAAGATGTCCTGACCTCAGGCATACAGAAATGAGCGAAGCTTCGGCGATTGCCCTACTTATGAGAAACTTTGGACCCATAGAATGCCAGCAGCGAGTATCTATTTCGGGACGTCGATTTCTCGGTTCAGATGTTTTTGAAAAAACTACTTAAACATGCTATAGGTAAACAATGTTCAACCAATACAGTAGCTATGTTTTCAAAAGAACTCGTTCATTTGCGCCTGATTTGTGGCCAAGAGAGTTAAAGCAACGAATTTCCGATTTTGAGTGCAGCTGTGTGAGATGCTGGTGAAATTCTCACAGATGAGATAGAAGTTTAATTTGATAACTGTTAGAAAGTACATGAAGAAAGCTTTCTATTGGTATGCAGAATCCATATCGAAAAAGAATTTATGAAGGAAAAAAGTTGTTCGGAAAGTAGGCCTAGAAAAACGGACATTATTTTTGCAACAACCTAATACTAGCTACTTCGGCTTAATCAGCTCGCTTAACATCACTAAATTACAGTATCAATTTTGACAGGCTTTCTAATCATCTTATCCACAACTTTTCCTTTAATTGTTCTTTGTTCACTGACGTTGAAAGTAGAGAAAAATTCCTAAAACTAGAGATTTCCCGAAATTTCAGTTTCTGGTTATTTTAGGCATTTCAACTAATTTGATTTTGTGATCATTTTCCTCTAGAAAAACTCTCCTCTGTATCGCTTTGCTTATTTGCTTGGTTTTCAAATAATACGTATTTTTCGCTGTTCGAAATAATCTGGACATCAAGAATATCACCCTTTCCCGAAGGCTGATAATCGCACCTGAGAGCAACTAGGTGCGAGGAGATTTGAAGAAAGGCAGAGATTCGTCTCTGCAAGAGTTTTAGACGACGAGCGTAATCACTGTACCAGCTGCAGCGCCTTTGCCGTCAGCTCCGGCGGCTGGCTGCGGTAGCAGTCGGCTGCCCGAGTATCACTTGCTACGCACCCATTTTTGGGGGTTTCGCGGATTTTCGACTCCATATTCGGAATCAGGGCTTTCAGAAGGCCTGAAGGCGACAAAAACATTGAATTCGAAATATTGAGTGGACGGTGCCTCTAAGGTTGCAGTATGAGTTTTTAAGGCATTTTACCACTCTAGAGTATCCTGTGGGAGCTAAAGCATTCTGCCCACACACGTCGCAACTTTTCGAGCTGTCTCTTCAAGCGTTCCAACCCGAGATGCAGCGTAACATAATTATCGAATAAAAGAATCTTCGCCTTCTCGGATTTTTCGGTTTGTGGTCAAATTTTTCTTTAATTTTTTACGAATCGAGAGAGTTATGCGAGCGGTTTGGTAAAGCTGACTTGGAGCTTCCAAACACATACAAACTTTTGCCAAATGCTTTACAAAATATCGAGAAAAAATTGTTGTAGAGCCGTCCCTTATGTTGGAACTTGCTCGCTCACTATAGGCTAGGTCGATATGGTCTCTGTGGTTGCGGCGTACCCGCCGCACTTTGATATATTTTGTGTGTTGTTCCTGAGCTATTTCTAGTGAACCCTCGGCATGTACGCCAATAGGCAGAGGGGGAACTCTTGTGTTTTTCTAATAAATCGTCAACGACTCAACGCGTTCTACTACAACTGGCGATCAGGATCAAGGACAAGAAGCCTCCACCGACCAAGGACCAGAAGAAGCTCGACCGACAAGGACCAGAAGAAGCTCGATTGACAAGGACCAGAAGAAGCTCGATCGACAAGGACCGGAAGCCTCCATCGTCCAACGAGAAGACGCGTTGCAGCTCGAATTGAGGAAGAAGCTGTCAGTGGTCGAGGACAGCCAGACAAGTAAGCTTTGTCGAGAAGCTTATCTATTTAGCAGAAGACTTCGTCGACACCAGAAAGGTCTACCATGCCGAAAGCTAGTGAAGAACGGCATGGCGACTCTCTGGAGAAGGTCCTCTCGGTCATGATCGACCAGATGCGGCTCCAACAGGAGGAGATGAAGCTGCATATGCAGCTTCAACAGGAACAGATGCAGGCTCGACTACAAGCTCAACAGGAGCATATGCAAGCACAATGGAAAGCTCAGCAGGAGCAAATGCAAATACAGTCGCAAGCTCTGCAGGAGCAAATGCAAGTTCAATTGCAAGCTCAACAAGAGCAAATGCAAATGCAGTCGCAAGCACAACAGGAGCAAATGCAAGTGCAATTGCAAGCACAACAGGATCAAATGAAGGCGTTGGTCACCGCTTTGACCAGCAACCAAAGGGTAGCCGTCCAGGACGCCAGCAAGGATCAGTACGACCAGCTGAGCAAAGACGTGCAAAGATTCGTCTCAGACGAAGATACAGGTAACACCTTTGCTTACTGGTATGGCAGGTACGGACCGGTCATTCGAGACTCCCAACTTTCGGATCAGAAGAAGCGCGATTTGATCCTTATGAAGCTGGATGAAGAAGCATACCGAAAGTATGCCGATGAGATCCTGCCTGCGCAACCAAACGACTTGGACTTCGACACCACCGTCGCAAATCTCCAGAAGCTGTTCGCCTCCAAAAAGACGCTCATCAGAAGACGGTATGAGTGCCTAAGAATAACGTGTCCTCCGCTAACACCGACGTACGTACCGTTTCGCGAGTACGCCAACACTATCAAGCGGATGGACGAGGATGCCCGGCTCAAGGAGGTCGACTACACGGCGATGAAGACGCTGCAGTTCGTAGCAGGTCTTCAAGATCCCTCACTTAGAGAAGTTCGCCTTCGGATGATTCGTCGACTGGACGCTCACAGGGACGAAGCACCGTTGACAATCGAGGACCTAGTCGCGGAATGTGAAAACTTCACTGCCCTGAAAATGGATAATACAGACATGGAAGGAACGCGCGACATCCATGCCGTATGGAAGAAAAAGGTGAATTGTTTCATATGCGGAGGACCGCATTTCAGAAGAGAGTGCCCCCAATCTGGCAGCACTGGTCGGAAGAAGCGACGGAGGACAGGTGCAAAACGCTTTGGTCGCAAAGGACAGTCAAGAATGTGGTCGCTTTCGACGCCGAGAGTGCCAGGACTTACCTCGACGTCGTAGTAAGAGGATGTTCTCTCAAGCTCCAGCTGGATACGGGTGCAGACATAACCCTGATATCGCGTAGAGCGTGGAAGAGGATGGGATCGCCTGCTCTGGAATCCTGTGTGATGCCTGTGAAAACTGCAGACGGAACGCCGATGCAGATTTATGGTAAATTCTCGACCGACTTCTCCGTCAGAGATCGAGTTACAGGGAAGATGGTTCATGGAAAGGGCACATGCTACGTCACCGAAGGCTCGAATCTACTAGGACTGGAATGGTGCATCCAGCTGCCGGCATACAAAAAGCTGAAGGACAAGTACCACTGCAGAAAGGTGACTAGCGAAGAGGAAATCCGAGCCGAAGTGGTTGCCGACTTGAAGAAGAAGTATGGAGAAGTCTTCAGTAGCGACCTCGGAAAGTGCACGAAGAGTAAAGCAAAATTAGTCTTGAAGAGCGATGCTGTTCCGGTCTTCAAGAAGAAGCGACCGGTGCCTTACGCGTCAGCACCGGAACTGGAAGCCGAAATCGATCGCTTGGTAGCCGAAGGAGTCATTTCTCCGGTCGAACACTCAGAGTGGGCCGCGCCAGTGGTCGCCGTCAAGAAGAAAAATGGCAAAATTCGTCTATGTGCCGACTTCTCGACAGGATTGAATGATGCTTTGCAGCTGCATCAGCACCCATTGCCCACGGCGGAGGAGGTGTTCGCAAAACTAAACGGAGGCCAGCTCTTCACACAACTCGACCTGGCCGAAGCTTATCTACAGGTGGAAGTTGCAGAAGCATCGAGAGAGATGCTAACCATCAATACGCACAAGGGATTGTATCGCTACAATCGCCTACCTTTTGGAGTAAAATCCGCGCCAGGCATATTCCAACAGATTATGGATTCTATGATAAGCGGACTTGATGGAGTAGCCGCTTATCTCGATGACATCATCATCACGGGAAGGAGTTACGAAGAGCATCGCCAAAATTTGGAAGCTCTTTTCAAGCGAATCAAGGACTATGGATTCCATGTCAGGTTGGAAAAATGCAACTTTCTGATGCCAGAAATTTGCTACTTAGGCTGCATTATCGACAAGAACGGACGCCGGCCGGATCCGAAGAAAATTGAGGTCATCCAACAAATGCCAGCCCCGAAGAACATAGCAGATGTTCGTTCCTTCCTCGGCATGATCAACTACTACGGATCATTCGTAGCAGAGATGCGCCAGCTCCGTGCACCCTTGGACGCACTGCTCAAGAAGGAAGCAAGGTTCGAGTGGACAAAGGAATGCCAACACGCATTCGAGCGTGCTAAGGAAGTTTTGGCCTCGGATCTACTCCTTACACATTTCGACCCTAAATTGCAGATAGTGGTAGCTGCCGACGCATCGGATTACGGAATTGGAGCTGTGATCTTACACAAGATGCCGGATGGATCGGAAAAGGCGATTTGTCATGCAAGCCGGAGCCTCACAGCCGCCGAGAAGAATTATGGACAAATTGAAAAAGAAGGACTTGCACTGGTTTTCGCAGTGCGTAAGTTCCATCGATATATATACGGACGCCGATTCAGGCTGCTCACCGACCACAAGCCGCTGCTGCACATTTTTGGACCGAAGAAGATGGTACCTGTGTACACAGCGAACAGATTGCAACGATGGAAACTTATTCTTCTCGCATACGACTTCGATTTGGAGTACCAGAAGACGACCGAATTTGGACAAGCCGATGCATTGTCTCGATTGATCCCTCCACGGCCATTCCAAACCGAGGACGTCGTGATAGCGAAGATAGAAGAAGATGTGCAAGCCGTTCAAGCTGCCGCTGTACGAGCGCTACCAGTGACCAGGAGTAAGATTGAAGAGGAATCCCATAAGGACGAAAACATCAGGGAGGTTATACAAATGCTACAGTCAGGATCGTGGCCGTCCAAGCCGAAAGGAGATATCGGAAACTGGAGAGCACTGGGCGAGAGTTTATCAGTGCAAAATGGATGTTTGTACTTTGGCCACAGAATAGTTATTCCAGTCTCGCTGCGACAAGAGGTTTTGAAGCAGTTACACGAGGGGCACCCTGGAATGACAAGGATGAAGATGCTCGCGAGAGGATTCGCATACTGGATGGGCATCAACAAAGACATCGAAGACTCAGTGCGCCGCTGTAGGGAATGTCAAGAAGCAGCCAAGATGCCAGTGAAGACTGTACTGCATTCATGGAAAATGGAAGAAAAACCATGGAATCGGATCCACATTGACTATGCAGGACCACTAAATGGAAAGATGTATCTTGTCGTAGTCGATGCGTACTCCAAATGGCCGGAAGTGCTGGAAATGTCGTCATCGTCGACTGCTGCAACTCTAAAGGAACTCAGACTACTCTTCGCAAGATTCGGAAATCCGCGAGTAATCGTGTCGGATAATGGAACACAGTTTACGGCAAAGGAATTCCAAGATTTCTGTGAAGAGCAAGGAATCAAGCATATGCGCTCCCCTCCGTTCCATCCACAATCGAATGGTCAAGCCGAGAGGTTTGTGGATATCTTCAAGAGAACTTTTCAGAAAATCAAGGAGGGAGGGACGGCACAGAAGCTAGCAGAATTTTTGCAATGCTATCGAAGAACGCCCTCGACGTCTACCCCTGGACAACTTTCGCCGGCCGAACTGCTGCTAGGACGTCAGATGAGGACACCGCTGTCGCTATTAGATGAAGATTCCAAAGAAGAAGGAAAGTTGGCCAATGAAACCATGGAAAAGCAGTTTAACAGTCATCATGGAGCACGGAAGAAAGCGTACCAACCACAAGAAGACGTGTGGGTACGTGATTTTCGCTCTGGATGTGAAAAATGGATTCCAGCGCGTGTGAAGAAACGCTACGGAAAAGCCGTATACGATGTGCTTACGGAAGACAACCAGTTATGGAGACGACATGCGAACCAGATGCGTAGTGGATCAAGTATGGATCGCCGTCGTGACTCATCGCACACCATGCGTTCCGAAGAAGACCGATTGGACAATGGCATGGACATCGCTGAACGCCATGCAACTTCAACTACGTCATCAACCAGACCAAGTCGCCATCGTCGCCCACCAGAACGTCTACAAATAGATCCTTTTTGTAAGATGTACCGTTGTTCATCTTAGGAGGGAGGTGTTGTAGAGCCGTCCCTTATGTTGGAACTTGCTCGCTCACTATAGGCTAGGTCGATATGGTCTCTGTGGTTGCGGCGTACCCGCCGCACTTTGATATATTTTGTGTGTTGTTCCTGAGCTATTTCTAGTGAACCCTCGGCATGTACGCCAATAGGCAGAGGGGGAACTCTTGTGTTTTTCTAATAAATCGTCAACGACTCAACGCGTTCTACTACAAAAATAAAACAAGAAAAGCTAACGAAGTTTTCACACGGCCTATATACTTTGCACTATGCTTCTCCTAGCTCTTGTCCGTTTATGCTCCAGTTTCGTAGTCATGTCGTTATGCATGCGTTGTAAAAGAGGCAGTCAATCACTATTCAGTAGAAAAAGCTGGAATTTTAAAAAGTGATATGCGAATTGAGCGAGTTTTTGAACGTCGGTCGTGTAGGAACTTGATAGGAGTGTATATACCTGTAAACGTATATTTTCAATATTTCCTTTGTTTTTTCCTTGAAACGATTTTCAGATTGACATTCTGCCACCCTCGTGGCCCTGCTGCTTCTCACAGGGTATGCGATAATATCCAAGACCGGTAAGTTAGACGGCGCGTGCAGAGCACTGCCGGAGAGACGGCAGAGATCATTTAGGAAACAGACGTTCTTATTACTAATTTCTATAAACCAGTAGAAGTGAGCAGAATCATAGATGCCGATGCGCATCATAGTTTTTTTGACTGTTTGCGGACAGCCCTATCGGCCAGCAGTCGTCCGTTATATCTGTCAAAAATTGTTTACCCATTCCCGTCAAACAATGTCATGAAGAAGACTTTTAGGCTTCGCTGGACACCTACGTACTACTGAGGAGCGCGAAGAAGAGTGTATGGGAAATAGTGGGTAGAGAACGAAGTAAGTGTACTTAGAGCTGTGTTTGTAATAAAATTAGAGCGTATTAATCAATATCACAAATTTTCTAGAGGCGACTGCATGACGAAGGCGCAGGAGCAGCATTAGTTAAGCGGCCGCGAACGCGGCGCGCCGTATCTTCACCGTAGTATCTAAATGCAGCGCCTCATGCGCCCTGTGGCTAATAAAGCCACATTTGCTCCCTATAAAATTGCGCCTTCGTTGTGTTACAGCGTATAACAATTTGTGATTAGACGATCTATAGGGCATTCGAAAAATCGTGACGATGGCGCGACCGCGCGCGACACGCACGCACCTTCATCTCTTGGTTTCTCTCTACTCGAATAGTTTTTCTGCTTACGTATGATACTACGCAGACACTGGAAGTAACTAAGCTGGGCGTTGAGTTTATCCCTGTTTGTATGGGTGTTTTATGCCCCTGTATGCGCAAATACCGCAGTCAAACTCGTCGTCACGATTTTAAGAATGAACTATATAAAAGTGTGGGGGAGGGGAAGAGGAAAATGTATTTCAGAGGTTGATATCTCGCGAGAGAGTTATTTTATGGAATTACCCTCCTTTTACACATCGTAAATTTGAGATATCAGTTAATTTCCCTAAAATTTTTGCTAGTCGTAAAATTTCAAATTTAGAGTAGGCACCCTGCAATAGTGCCGAAATGCTGTGCAGGACATTGAACATAATGATTGCATTCTTTAATTGCTACAAAGTTGCAGATATTCACAAGAACACCATTGAAGGATATGAAGAGCTGGAGACAGGCGCGGATTTCGCAAAGAATCAGCACAGCATTGTTCATCCGTTGCCAGCAGCAGACACGTCTGCAGCGTGCAGCATTTCGTGACTCATTGTTTGATTTCTTTTTTTATCGATAAAAAACCGTTAACCAGTTGACAACCAAACCTAGAAATCATCTGCATTGGTTTGGAGTAAAGTTCCAGCTGTGTTACAGCCTAAATATATCTTATATATAAAGCTGGATGTCTGTCTGTCGTATGTACGTACGTTCCAAATACAAATTTTTATTTCTGAATTGATCTGGACTAAACGTTGCACATACACTTCGGCGTATCGATCGATGTCGATTTCATCGATCTTTTGCGAAGCTTGAGCTAAGGGACTCGGAGGGGGGAGGTGAGGGCATGCTGATTACGAATAAAGTATAGTCGAGTAGATTTTTCGTTTGATATGGTTTGCTTGCACAGAAGGTGAAATGCGGTGAAATTTGCGCGTGAATAAATAGCCACGCCAGTACTGCCGGCATTTGGCGCGCGCAATTGGCCGGCGTCGCAGTCGAAGCTATTTGTTCACGCGCAAGTTTCACTGCATTTCACCTTCTGTGCAAGCACACTATATCAAGCGGAAAATCTATTCGACTGTACTAGTTTTTATGTACCAGAAATATTCCTCCTTTATCCTAATGGACAAATTAACAGGAACAAGAACTACAACGAGTGTAACTATGTACAATAACAGGGCTTTAACCCGATTTGCCCTCACAGCAGGATTCCCTAGGCTATCACTAACTAAGGGAGAGGTCCGCCTCTCTTCGATGGCTCGTCTAAACTCCCGAAACCGTACTCTTCGCGCTCTGACTGATCCCTCTGTCTAGCAGTATTTATACCCCGCTGAAAGGTCAAACAGCCTCTCTTTTCCCGCCACCGAAGATCGGTAGGTGGGTGATCTGCGCCATCGAATATCCCTCCCCTTCGGGGAGCCGACGTCCTCGGCGGCTGCAAATGCTAAGCGTTGCGCCGGG